AGTCAGCTGGGATAGACTCCAGCCTCTCCGCAGTCCTAGTGAGGATTAAACGGTGTGTAGATAATGGATGGATGGATGGAATTCCAGGAACGACAGATCTCTTAGACATTCATCTTACCTGGGAAAAACTAGCCTACTACTGCATCGTTTTTTCATTTTTGGGAGCAAATCACAGCAAAGACTCAAGGGGAAGTTTCCCCTAATTTGCTAAAAGTTCCACATTTTACCTTTGGATCTCTTTCTGGCTTCATCCAACAAGCATCCTGTGCATTAGTAATTTTAACTAAATAGGTGTAACCAACCAGAGACTACTATGATAAAATGTATTGGACATCGAACCTGAAATGAAACTTCAACAGCAGCATCACGTTAGTAGATGGGGAATGTGCAACTGTACGTGTTGAGTTCAGGGATTTTCATGGTTAATGTTTGAACATCACTCATGGTAAAGTATGTCTTTACATCATAGAAATAATTTTAAAAAATCACACATCTCTTCAATACTCATTCATTTTGTAGCTAAAAACACAACACTGGCATTTTACATAAATGCTGTGCGTGATGTTCACACCAAGTGTCTGAAGCAGGTGCAGGTCCTGCAGCCTGAAACTGGAGAGAAGCATCACTGACAGCCAGGGCTTCTCATGAGACTGGACAGAAAAAGTGAATGATTCTCTTGTTCAAAGCCGTCAATAACACAATGAGTCCAACAAGAGTTTGTTTTTTTATTGCACCCTCCTCAGAACATACAGTGTGTAGCTCAGAGATGCGTCGACAGAGAATGGTATTCATTAACATACATAACTCTTATTGCATTGGTTTGATCAGGCGTGATTCTGTGGGATCTTTGGGGCAGTCTTACCACAATTAGATTAGATGCTGCAAGGCTACAAAGTTAAGACCAGAGAATTGTTGTGGACTGAGTTTCTGGGTATAAACGTGAAAAGTTTAAACCAGATTTCACACGAGGACAGAATGAAGTTAGAGCCTTATTTTGCACAGTAGGGTTAAGGTGACTTGTGAGATAACAATCAACACCCTTGAAGCCTAAAAGCTCTATTTACTACGCTTTAAACCACCAGGAAAGTCTTTTAAAGGTTATGTTTTCTGGGGTATTTACATGAACTTGTAGTATTTTTCTGCTTCTTTATTGGTACACAAAGCTGCTACCGCTTTCTGTATTCTGTGTAAACTGACCGTGACCTCATACTGTGTGTAGTCTGTGCGTCCTCTACATGCCGGTAGAACACCAGATATAAACAAAGCAAAAACCTGCTCATCTCAACACTGTGGTCAAGAAGTGGTCAAGAACTCCACAGACAGCTTTACGATAATGTGGAGTCTGTGCTTATGTGTTGGGATCTTGCTGTTCTGTACGAAGTATTCAGAAGCTTTTCTCATGTCAAAGTATCACTACCAGACTACTGCCTGATGTTTTGGGGTAAAAGTAGAAAGCTGCATAAAGTAGAGTCACTTAAGTAAAGTACAAGTACCTTGCATTCGCGCTAAAGTGCAATACTTGAGTAGATGTACTTTGTTACATTCCACCACTGACGTTGGATCTTATTTGTTTAGTTAATTAAAAAAAAAACAGCTTGGTTTGTAGTTAACTTGTGTGGGTTAGACTTGATCATTCAAATATGCCAAGACATTCATTGCTTTTACATATTTTTGCTAAACTGTTACCTGCAGAAGTTAAGGGACGGTCCAAATAAACAGGCTGCTGTACAAGGCATTCTGTATGTTAATAATACATCCAAATGTTTTCTATTATAATAAAAAGGTTCACTAAACTGGCCAGAAAAAACTCAGAAAAACCAAGAAAACAGGTTTTGCAAAGCATACGGCCAGTGTTTTTGCAGGCACTTTTGAGCATAAATACCAGTAATAAAGGTTTCATCCAGGGTAAAACTTCCGCTAATATCAGTAGTAGTACTATTTGCTAAAGGATCGAGGATTAGTGAGGTTTAAGACTGCAACAAAGATCCCAATGAATATGCACACTGACTGTATAATGACTCACCAATATGTTGCCACACATATGAAAGTAACTGATGAAGCTCGTAGGAAGTTATAGCTGGACAGAAACTCTCAGGAATCACTAATTACAGCTTTAAACTCCACTGACAAGAGTGGCTAGAACACATCAAGACAAGCTTCTTTTGATACGATGGCCTACTGTGGTGAGTTCCAGCATTTTATTTATCAAACACACACAGATTTCGGTAAAACACGTCTGCTTCTTCCTTGCTAGCTTTATGAATCAACACAATAACTCGGAATACTAACTGTCTAACTAATACGTACATCTTACTTAATTCTATGATGCAGCAGATTGATAACCTCGGAGGGACAAAGTGGGAAGGCATGTGTTGGGTGATACAGGAGGCTGCAGGTGCAAAGCTGTGATAGAACATATAGTTAACCACTAAGTGCCATAAGGAGGTGTAAATACACAGGAATAGAGCGATAAGGAGGAAGAGAACAGCATGTCCATCTATCTCACACACTCACCCATCTTTCCGTCACACCTCCTCCAGTGTTTGCTTTTCTACTCAGACTCCACGTTAATATACTTGGAATAGCTGCTGAAATCACACCTGACTGCTGCTAATGAGCACCGTCTGGCTCCACCTCAGGGCTGCCGTCGGCTACTGTGTCCACGGAGCTCTGGGCTGTGCTGTTCCACTGGGCGGCGTTGGACTGCGGCTCCAGCGACGGGCTCACGGAGACGGGGTCGGAGGAGTTGGTGGTCGGGTCCAGCAGGATCTGAGCGGAGGTCGGGGGGTGGCTGAACGCGGCCTCGGCGGGCAGGTCGGACGAAGGGCTGGGTGGAGCGCTGGATGGCGGGAGGGCGGGCGAGTCGGCGAGCATTTGTGAGGAGGAGTTGGACGTTGTGTTCGAGGACAGGTTAGAAGGGGTGAGTGAGGGTGAGTCGGAGAGAGTGTGGGGGAGAGGATCGGACGGGGAAGACGGGGACTCTGTGGGTGAGTCGGTCGGGGTCGGCCTGGGAGTGTGTGCGGGGGTCGGCTCCTGTGGGTCGGTGCAGACCGGCTCGCCCTCGGCTACGTACCACACCTCATTGTGCCTGTTCAACAGCTTCAAGGGACTACACACACACACACACACACACACACACACACAGACACACAGACACACACAAACACACAAGAAAAGAGCAAAAGAGATGAACACACTGGTTAGACATGAGTGACTTCTATGTGTATGTGTTAGGCTATGAAATCCTCTAAATTGGAGATAACATTATCCATTCACATCCAGATTTGTATTAAAATACCCATAGTTACAGTTATCCATCCATCCATTATCTATACACCGCTTAATCCTTACTGGGGTCACAGGGGGCTGGAGTCTCTCCCAGCTGACTTAGGGTGAAGGCAGGGGACACCCTGGACAGGTCACCAGTCTATCACAGGGCCACACTTAGAGACAGACAACCAAGCACACTCACATTCACACCTACGGACAATTTAGAATCCCCAATTAACCTCAGCATGTTTTTGGACTGTGTGGGAGGAAGCCGGAGAACCCGGAGAGAACCCACGCTGCACGGGGAGAACATGCAAACTCCACGTAGAAAGATCTCGGGTGTCCTCACCGGGAGGCGAACCGGCAACCTTCTTGCTGTGAGGCAACGGTGCTAACCACCGCTCCACCTTGCAGCCCATATTTACAGTTATGAGGACTAAATAATACAACTAATTTAACAGATAAATCCTGCACTATAACCTCTCTACATGGAAGATTTGTCAGAAATACAAGTAAATCAGAATCTTGACCAGCAGTTAAACACTAAGTACAAAACATAAACGACAGCAACAAAAATATAAATGTATGAAACAGCAACAACAAGAAGGTTTAAAACGACCGAGCCACCTGTCATAGCCGACTCCATAGTGATAGCTGTGATTGTAGGAAGCTCGAACTCTCTCCAGCTCTTTCGTCAGAAGGTGGGCGTGAAGCCTGGAGGTCACCGACAGCATCCAGCCTCCGTAGCTCCTCACGTACACGTCCATCTCCGGCATCTCAGTGAAGTAAAGCTGTGCAGTCGACACGGACGCAACATCAGCAAACAACAAGCTTCGTTACAGACAACACTGCCAGAGGAAAGGTCCAGTGCAGCAGCATGTGAGCATCTCATTACAGTACAACGTTCTGCAGGGAAACACTGGGTCATGGCATTCATGTTGACGTTACTTTGACCTAAACATCGTTCCAGATGAAGCACCTCTACGGGTCGGAGCTGTTATGGGGCCAGTGGTTTCAAACATCGTCTATATAAAAGATAAGTGTAGCCACCTTGTAGTCACCCTTTGGTTTGTGGTTCTTGGCCAACTTGGGCTTTTGAAACCAGACATGAGTGCAGGGGTAGATCTGTCTGAGACCTAGAGGACACTACTCACCCATGTGATGACCACTTGTCAATCACATTCTGAAACATAATCCTATATATTTGTGCATGTTTCTCTAAATGGGACCATAATTTACAAAGTGAACATCACATGTTGTGTTGACTTAAAACTAGAATTTGAGACCATATATTTATGAGGAAAATGTTTTCTGAGGTAACAAAGTAGGATCATTTTCTCACTGACTTCTACACAATCTGACTTCCATTTGCAAACAGAGGAGTCGCCCCCTGCTGGATGTCAGAAAGGATACAGGTTTAAGAACATTTAAGACATTAGCGGCCTCTGAGATGTAGTGAAGTAAAATGGAAACACTCACTAAAGAACTTGCACTAAAGTCCAGTATTTATAGGATAGAATAGAAATACTTTTTTAATCCCCAAGGGGAAATTTGGTTATTACAGCAAAATGAGTGAAGTTACCACCACCATAACTACTGATAAAGAAGCAAAAATAAACAATAAGAAAATATAAAATGCAAAATGTACAATAAGTGTAATATGTCTGAGTGGAAAGGTCCTTTGAGAAGTGTCATGGAAGTAATGCGCAACAAAACAAGAGTAGATGTTCATTTTACATTCCACCACGAACGTTAAAGGTTAAGTCATGTTCTTAATCTACAAAACATTCCTGTCCAAGTTAATGAAACGAAAAAATCTGCTTTGCAAATTTTACTTTTTTACACTTCGGTTTGGAATTGACTCAGCAGAGTAGACTAGATCTAGACCATTCACATAGCCTAAAACATGTGTTGCTTTTGTTTATTTCTACTGAGCTTTTACCTAAAAAACTAAAGGAAGCTCAAACAAGATGTGTTGTAATACAAAGCATACTGTGTGTTGCTTTCTGTCATCATCAAAATGTACATTATTATAGTATAAAGGCTCAATAAAGTGGCCAAAAAGTTTAAAATCATGACAACATGAGCTGTAGCTGACCTTCTCACAACCCTGAACTGAGTAATATATAGCTAAGTTATTAATCCGTCTGTCTCTGAACCCTCTCATGTGAAGATGATGAAATGTTAAAGCAGGACGGGACAGAGACACATCCTGAAGCAACACGATCTGTTTCTGTTCTGCTGAGCAGCAGAGGAATCAGTGCTCTCTATTGATCTTCAAGCAAAATCACAGATTAGGTTACACACAGGTACTGGAGGAATAACCAGCATTTGACCTTAATACAGGAAAGGGCAGCGAGCCAGCTCTATATAAGTGCCTCCCGCTGCACCCACATCCCTCCTCACCCGTCGGCTCACCTTGTCGTTAGTGGGTGCCGGCGGCTTGTCCTGATAGGCTGCAGGCAGCGGGAAGTTGAGCGTGTAGATGGCCGGCTCCCACATCTTGGTCTCCTCCGGGATCTTGACCAGGACGGGGGCGGTCATCTCCATCTGGACGCCTGCCCAAGACACGCACGATTAAAATAAACGCAACAAACACAGTGGATCGAAGCCGATGTTCTGTCCTGTCCTGCCTCTACCTGCTTCATTGGCTCCTGTGATGTACTGGAAAAGCCTCCTGAAAGCCATGGCTGCACCAACTCCCATGAAATAGGCTTCGGCATCTGTTGACACCCAGCGAGTGGGGCTGTAGTGTCGCACCTGAACACACACACACACACACACACACACACACACACCCACAGTGTGTGAGGAATAAAGGCCTGATGAGCAGGTGGTGTGTATTTGTGCTGGCTGATGGCGGTTTTCACTCACTTCGTACTCATCTGTTTTGCAGACCAGCTCATACTCCAGACACTCCTTTGACTCTGTGCAGAAGCTGTTGTTGGTGCTCGGACTGTAAGAGTAGCACAAGAAACAATATTCATAATCAAGCAACACAATATGATCAAAAGGATGTGCACAACATGTTTTAATGTTTGCATTTGACTCTCCAACTTTGTGTTGGCAGTTTAGTGAAGGCCCCTTTTTCACAATCCCTCTTGCACAAAGAAATCTTCTGTCATTCTGGTGTGGAAGAACTTAACCGTCCTGTGCAGAGGCCTAAACTCAATCAAACCCAACAGCTTTGAGATGAACAGGAAGCAAACTTTACGATATGAACGAGGGCTAAAATGGAATCTCTGTGAGGCTGTAGTCAGTCACAGCGCTGCTCTGCAGTTAAAAGTCACACTGGCATGCTAACATGTTGATGTGCTGCAAGTATAATGCTCACCTGTTCAGTTTAGCAGGCTGGTATTTGTTAATTAGCGTTAAATACAAAGTAAAGCCGATGCTGGGAATGTCCTTTGTTTTGGAGATCCACCCCATAATTGTTAAAATATTCCAGTAAAAATCAAAAACTGCACTAAGGAGAAATTGCAAAGGTTAGTTGAGTTATCCTGAAGGTCTGTAACAAATTTCATGGCAATTCAATTCAATTCAATTAAATAATTTAATTTAATTTAATTAAACTTAATTTAATTTAATTTAATGTTATTTGAATTTATTTTCTGCTATTTCTTGGCCAAAGTATCAAGGATGGTGTAGTAAAACATTTCATGGCAATTAAATTAAATTAAATTAAATTAATGTTATTTTATTTTAATTTATTTTGTGTTGTTTCTTGGCCTAAGTATCAAGGATGGTGTAGTAAAAAAAAAAAAAAAAAAAAACACTATTCCTTAAGTGGGATAAAGTCAATAAATTATGATATATTATTGTTTTTTAAAGAAAAAAAAACAAGACAATAGCAAAAAAAGGAAAAAGAAAATAGCTATAAATATATGGTGTATGTGAGTCATATGTATAATAATCAAGGTAACTGTCCTGTTCAGTGATGCTTTAATTATGCGTCCCTCAGCTTGTGACATGTCGCCACATATTGTATGTCTCCTAACAGATTCTGCTGCTTTTCATTGTTGTCTATTTCTGTGACGTTTAGCACCAATGACGAAGTATTCCTGTCCTATAATATTGTATTTGTCTCATTTTAGGATGCCGTGAATCTCCGTCTCCATCTCACCTGTCTGCTCTGAACACAGACTCGTTCTTCTGTCTGTAGCCACAACTTCTTGTCTTGTTTCTCTATAGATGGACTGAATCAGAATCGGTCTCTGCTTTGCATCTCTGACAGTCAAGAGATTTTCTGCCGACTGATTTTCAAGCTACGTATTTATTGTTTTTCTCATTTTGCAGCAAATATATCCAACCTGGTGGTGGAGGACGGTTCAGGAAAGCCGAGGAATACATTTTATGGCTTCAATAAAAGGAAAAACCGACCTGCTGGTGTCGCTAAAGGAGGACTAATAGGATTACCAGAGTCATTAGAATTCAGCCTGTAGGCAACATAAATATCTGCAGTAAATGTCACAGCAGTCCATCCATTAGCCAAAAAGATCATTCAGTCTGGACTAAAGTGGTCCTGAAGACTGACCAGACAACTATACTGTCCATACAGCAGGTTAGAAGTGAGATTAAAAAAAAACAAGCAGAGCAACAGAAAACAACGACTTTTAAAGATGTGCACCAGCAGCAACACCACAACAACCATCTTTGCTTTTGGCTTTGACCTTGGAAAAAGTCCCTGTTGTGAATGGCTGATGCTCCTGCCAGCAGCCAGAGGACACCACAACCTCTTCAAGTGTACCGAGATACCATGAGCTGATGCCACAGAAGTGATAGAACCACTAAAGGTCTTGTTGAGGGAAAAAAAACTCCTGTAGTCGGCCTCCAAGATCTCTTGAAGAGCCTTTTGCTAGAAGAGTGGAGGTTTTCTGTGAGAGCTGATAATGTGCAGAGTGGGTGTTCCATCATCACATATCACATGTGGTGGCTGGAACGGATTGAGTGCTCTTAACCAGAGTGTGATGGAGAAAACTGTGAGTCATTTTGGGCTGGAGCCAGGTTAATCTGTGATGGATTAAATGAAACTTGGGTCAGATGTTTGTAGGTACATCCATCCATGTGAGGCGTCACCACTTACCCAACACTAGCTTCAGCTGAGACCACCAGGGCCGCAATCGCCAAGAGAGTGATGAAAGCCCTGGAGGAGAACACACAAGTCAGACATCCTCGTGTCAACTCCACTGCAAGAATTCATCAAGTTTTATCCTATCGAACTTAGTGCCAAAGAAAAACAAGGATTCAAATGAATGAAAATGAAAAAGAAGCTCTGATGGAGGACATCCTTCATTTTCTGCACTATAAAGGACTTTATGGACCAATACAGGGAGGTGTCTGGCAGTGAAACTCTTCATTTCTTACAGAATTGTGAGCTGATACTCTGTAACAAACAAATTCTAGTGCAAAAAAACCGTGACAGCTCAGAGAAGGTGTGAGTGGCAGGTGTTGGGGAGCGTGCGTCAGGCTGCTGCATTCCGCTGTTTGCACTGCAGAGATGAAATGGGACACGTTTTCCTGCTCAGAGGGGGGAGAGAGGGAGAGATCTGCTGCATCATCAGGCTGCTGTCTTTTTGCAAATCAAAGGCGTTTTGAGGTCAAGGAGGATCAAAAAAATATGAAAAAGCTCGTTACGTCCCCCCTTTGTCTGACCGTTCCAACCTCCGCAAAAAGCAGATTAAGGACAACGAGCGTTACCTAATTATGGTTATTTCAGGACTGGCTGGATGTAGTCTCCAAATGCAATCATCAGATTAGTTTCAAGTCGGTCTTCTGTGTTATGCACAAGTGTTACAGCAGCCTGGGGAACAGATGAATCCTCTGCGTGCAGAACCAACAATGACGCAAAATAAAAAATTTAAAAAAATCAACTTTACCTGCGCATGACGCGGCAAAGAAAAAGTGGCTAAAAATGAGACCGAGCTGCTTTCTGACCATCAGAAATCCTCACCTACTGTCTGCGGATGTTTATCTAATGGATGAGAGCTGCTACTCACATTGTCGCGGTCCTGTGTGTCGTTTTCCACCTGCCGGGGCAGCGCAGGGAGGAGCAGTGATGGAGACGCAGTGTGCTGCACTCTGACTGCCGCCGCCGCTGGCTTCACTGCGGACTGCAGAGAGGACCGGAGAGGGACGGAGGGAGGGAGGAGGAGGAGGAGGAAGGAGGAGGCAGGAGGAGGCAGGAGGGAGGCAGGGAGGGGCTGAGCAGGCAGCAGCAGCCTCCACACTGCTCGACTGGACCAACACCGGACACATGATCTGTAAGTGCGAGTTCACCTCCAGCGCTGCAGCAGCAGAAGTCTAGACCGAAGTGCGCCATGTCCGCTGGATGTGTGCGCAGCAGCAGGAGAGCAGCTCCCACATGGAGACACTGCTCTGGACAGCTAGAATGTATGAATGTATAGACATGAGTGTATTTTTATAAGGTAACGTTTGTTTGTTTGCTTTCTTACTAGAAAATGTTGTACTTTTGTTCCCAGAAAAATTCTGACTTTTCTTGAACCAAATCTATCAATTAACCAAAAATGAAGTAAATTCACAAATATTTGCCTTTTTTTTTTTTTTTTTTAAATCATCTATGAAACTAGTATACAAGTCATTGCTTTTGCAAATGTAA